TGACTCCCCAAATAAATGAACAAAATGGTAGCGATCGGACAGGTAGGATCTAAACCATCTTAAAGCCTGCCCTTGAATACCTGTATAGTTTTGTAATCGATTTATGAGTATGTCATGATCTATAGTGTCGAACGCAGCACTAAGATCAAGTGAGTGATCAACTGTGATCAACTGAATTGAGACCAAGCAGAGTCGTACATTTTTAATGTAGTTTTAGCCAGATCTGCTTTTTTAATTAACTTGATTGCATCATCAATGGTAGCATAAAACAGAGAAAAAAGGAGCTAGAGAAACGAGACTGTTAACACTTTGAGCTGCATCATTATGAGGGGCGGATAGATCAATAATTAAACGCTTTTTTCCTGAATATTTACGAGTCGCGATTCCTATAGGATTAATCCGATAGTCTGGAAAGGGAGGATCATCAAATGGCCCAATCATAAATCCTTTCTTCTCTAACAATGACAATTTCAGGCTCGTTTGAAGCAGAAATCAAGTTTTTACAGACTAGAGAATAATTAGGCATCCAAGACAACCCTGCAATAAAACCTTGAACAAGACCAGTTATTAAGTAATTGACGAAACAGCAATTAGGGTGGCGGTCTCCACAGTAACTACAAGCATGAACATATTTACAATTATAGAATTTGCAAACATTTTCATTAAAATTATAACACAGTGGAGTGGCAAATGGCATCACCTTAGGATCAGGCTGCAAGCTGACAGAAACAGTTTTTGGGCACAGATTGGACGTGTGAGAGCCACAGATCGAGCAGGAGAGAGCTTGATGGCCAGTAAAGTGTCTGCTGATGAGAGGTACTGTAAGTCGACTACAGACCAGCCCAGTCTTTGATTGAATCGCTAAATGAACATGGCAGCTTTTGCGGAGAAAGATTTATGATACTCATAAAAGAGAGTTCCTCCATATGTGAGAGCTAAGTCAGTGATAATGGCTAAATACTGTATGTGTCTAGCTCGGCTCTACGAGACGAAAAAACTTTGCATATAACATCTCTGTATACTCCAAATGCCACGATAAATTCGGCTAGAGTCAAAGTTTTTGAAAGTCGAGGGTCATTGTCTTTAAGCATAACAGACACATCGCCGCAATCAACAACATGCCCGTCACTTAATTCTGGGCCCAGTAATATTTTTACAAGGTTGACATCACCTGCAGTGATTTGGCTTCTCAACTGATGGGAGATTGCGGCAGTCGGCGGAACCTCCATTGGCCATTGGACACGGGAACTGCATTTCCCATTGTCCTCCGTGGGAATGTCGCCGGAATGACGTCATCAACCTGTTGCTGAAATTGTTGACGCTATGTTCGAAGAAGCCAGCCCGGAGAAGATGAGATTTCCTGAAATCCTGGATGCTGAGCCGGACTCCAAAGCCTGGATTCTGGAGTTCATGTCAGAGATCGAAGACTGGACACTTGATAATGCTGACAACTTAGCATGGGACGATAACCGGTTTCAAGGTATACCGCGATTTGGAAAAGTCACGGTTTCAAAACCACAAAAATGTTCCGTTTCTTAAAAATAAAATGTGTTCAGTGGGAAAAAAAGTTGTTTTTTTACCCAGACATTTAAAAATAACTGCTGTAATCGCGATACCGTGAAACCGTGATATTGTTGTCTAAGGTTATCATACCGTCAGAATCTCATACCGGCCCATGCCTACTGACAACACTGGATCGAGGAGTGGATTGATCAGGCTGAGCTGGAAGGAGCACATGCCCATTTGGGTGCACCAGTGGCTGAAGTGAAAGCCGGCTCGAGGTTTTTCCTTTTCTGCATATTTTTCTTGCCGGAGGAAAAAGAAGGAGGAGGAGGTGGAGAGTGGGGAGCTGGGACATCAATACTTTCACAAAGCAAGGTAAACAGTTCCTCATGAGTAGCTCCGGTCAGAACCGGGATATGGCTCTTAAACAGAACTTCCAATATTTTAGGCAGAGACCAGTCGCTAATGCCGGGAGGACAAGGGGATTTACTTGCCAAACGAGTGCTCCGACAGACAGAAACATTGTTCTCGTCGAGAATAGCTTCCCCTGTTTGGCTTTGATGTTGTTGAGATTCTTCGATTGATTCAACCCACGGGACTTCGTCATTAGTGGCGGAAGACATGATAACCAGTTGGGTGAGTAATGTCAAAAACAATTATGCTTCATGGTACAGCAACATACATGAAGGTCTTGCAAGCAGCGTACAGAGGAAGCAGCAAAGCAAGCAGACAGAAGCCACGTTTAAGTAAGGCGCCCTGTTTGAGATGTGCCAATTGAGAGCTTAGGAGTCGGATCAGGTGATAGGGGCCGGGTTTGAATTTCGCCTATCAGCTGATAGCGGAGCTTGACTACAAGGCCTGCCTGAACTAACGCAGAATGCTTGATTTAAAGGGGTCATATGATGCTATTTAAAGAAAACCATAGACAAGCCTTTAAGTCAACTTTTATTGGCATGTTTACTAAAGTTACATTTGGCGGTATGGCTCTGTTCCAAGTTCCCTGTCCTTTTCATGAGCTCCATGAAAGCCAGGACAGGGAAACAGCAGTCGCTTCAGGGGCAACCCTCCTATTTTAAGAATAGGAGAATAGCACAAAAAAGACCCCCAGAACATAGCCACAAATCTGTGTTTTTAGAACAGTAAAAGCTTTTTTACTGTAGTCGCAATGTTATATTGAGTCACGTTTATCATAAAACACAGATGAAAGCATATATTCCCCCACTTTATTAGTATTTAAATAGTATATATTTACATTGAACTTTATTCATGAACAGATGGCGATGTATTAAGCAGTATATAATCAGTAGATATGATTATATTGTTGCTCATGAAAACGTTTCTGAAACGTCTGTATATCTGACAAATATTGCATTTAATTCACTTCATCTGTGATAGAGTATGCAAACACCG